GTGCAGTCCAGTGGGGATAGTATGAAGGATTCAAAGTATGCACTGACAGCTTCAAATGTGGCTTCTGCCACTTAATACTCTGTGCCTTCAGACAAGGTACTTGCATTCTCAGTGGAATCACACTACCTCTCATTGTTATAGTGAGGGATATATGACATTCGATGACTATACATATAAATTCATGCAGGTACTGTGGAGGGACAAAAGACAGTCCCTGACCTCACCTTCTTGAGGCCTTCGAACAGTCCCTGGCAACAGAGCAGATGCTAAATAACTCCGAATTCCCTCACTCTGCCAGTGGTAATTATAATAGGATGGGTTTACAGAGCTGACTATTTATCCATTCAGCACACAAAGCCTGTACTAAGGTATTAAAGTGGAGAAGAAGGGGGAGCATTGGTTGCTAAATATTTAGATAAAGGCTTGGTGGCTGTGGATCCAGAATATGTGTCGCAGCTGAGGTTTGGTTTGGAAGATAGGGCCACCATCAGGATAAGTGGTCATGGTTCCCAGATTAAGTAGGCACTGCCTTGTGAGAATATAAACAAATTCATTAAATTACCTGGCTTCCTATTTGGAAATGGGTTACATGGAAAAAGCATGGTGTACTCTAAGAGTCTGAGATAAAAATTATGTAACTTTCTCTCTTCCTTCCCCCTCTCTCACCTCATCCCCGTAATGGGAGTAAGAGAGCCTTTCTCCACTCCATTAGCCTGGATGTGTCTTTTTGTTAGTGACTGCTGTAAGTTGTTAAGAACAGCCGTGGCCACAATAACGCTGTAGATAGAACAGCCATGAAAATAGTTACTGATGATTGAACACCTGCTCCAAGAACTCTGTATATTCAGATTTTCATCAAGGTCTTGTCCTTCTATTTCTCCTTCTGTACATTTTCCTTCAACATTAATTGCCCGTCCCCATGTTTGTTCCATCCTGACATTGCTGTTGGGCATTTCAGGACAGTATCTCCCCTCTCAGTTGGCACCTCCAAATGGATAACCAAGTAGTCCCCCAAACCCACAGAATCTAACAAGACATTGTCGTTCCCACAAACTTCCTCCTTCTCTGACTTCATGATTCTTGATGGCACCACACTATCACTGCAGATGCCTGAGCTTTAAAACCGAAAGTCCCCGCGTCAGATCGTCCATAAAGTGCCATCCTTCTTCCTTTTTCCTCTCTCTGCAATCCTTTCTATCCACAGTTCAACTCTTCCTTGCCCCAGGACATTTGCAAAGCCCCTAACACGTCTCTCAGACTTCAGGTCCTCTTCACCCCAATTCAGCCTAATACTGATGCTGGAATGAGCTTTCTAACACACAAGACACTACCTTCCTCAAATGCCTTCAATGGCTCCCAGCTGCAACCAGGATAAGGTATACACTTCCTGCCATGAAATTCAATGTCCTCCACAATGTGACTCCAACGTAACTTTCCAGACCAAAATCACATGATCCCTTCACAAACTCTAAGCCTATTCTCCAGCCAAATCCAAACCCTCCTTATTCCCCAACTCCACCCTGCCTTTTATGTTTTTACAGCTTTGTTAAGTATATCTCCAGGCAAATCGTAGGAACTAATCAATACCAGTTGAATGAGTCTACGTGGGGTACACACTGCAAAATTCTGTCAACTTTTCTGAATGTTTGAACATTTTCATAATCAAACACTGGGAAAAATATTAGTTAAGTTAATAAATGGACAAGGGAATGAATTGCTTAGGAGCTGCATTACATCCTCCGCAGAGAATTATACAGGTGCAAGAAGACATGCCAAGAGATATTTTTGGAAAATGAGTCATGAGCTATGGCGTCCCAAAAAGGAAAGGAGGAAGGGCTAGCCCCAAGGTGCCTAAATAGATATTTTGGCCAGTAAACAACCCTAAGCAATTTAAAGACAGCCACTAACTAGAATCAGACTACAGAGGAAGGGTTAAGAGATAAGTCCCAACTGTACTGGAAAGGTAAGATGCTAAGAGTTTGCTTTGAAAGGCTAATAGCTCTAAGGACACAGTCCTTGTCCCTCTTCCTCCTCCATGGCATCTTTCACTTCAGGTTCTGAGTTAAAGCAATAAAAGAAAAGCATGTGATTTTGTGTTCAAGGCTGTACCTACAATATCTCCAAGGGGAGAGAAATCTCAATACTCTGGTTTCAGTTCAGACATGCTTCGGAGCACAGGTTTTATAAAGAAAGCACCTTGTGAACTGAGTCTATTATGGCTTAAACCATTGAAATTGCAAATATAGCATTAAAACTCAAACTCCATTCCTCATTTTGGCCAGGAAAGTATAGTTCTTAGCTTTTTGCCAAGCTTCCCACTCTTCCAAGTCAATATAGATATTAACAATTCGTTGTTCTAGAGGTATCTTTGTAATTGTGAGAAGCTTCCTACTTAAGTTCTTTTAAATGTTCTTAGTTCAGTCAATGAAAACCCCACATTATAAAACCATTGGAAATGTTAAACTAAAATAATCATGTTTGCTTTTTAAAATGAACCACACTTCCTATTAAAATGGGTCATTACGTATTTACCTTGGGTATCTGGATGCTAATAAATGAGTATATGATGTTATCTGAGGCAGTAGCTGAGCCTCTCCTCTCTGACTATCTTAGTTCTGTGCACGCCAGGGTAGTAGTCAACACGCAAGTTTTTTCTCTAAGAAATTATATGCTTCCCAAAACAAAGACAAACTCGTTTTAAAAATACTGTCATGCTGTTTGCTTCTTGTTTTTACTTTTTCATGGAGAGTGAACTGGTAAACCCAGCGGACTTTCTTAACACACTTGTAATTCATTCAAACTATCAGTCAAAGCCTATTTATTTCTCAGGCTCTAAAATCAGCCTTGTAGAGTCCCACTGTAAATCGGTTTATAAGCTGGATTCACATAAATTGTAGGGCCAATGATGCCCCTCCCAATCAACTCCTATAAATGATGAATAAAATAGCTTCTTGCTAACAACACTGACACTATATTATAAAGGGTTTTCACTGTACCTCAACTAGCATGGGGTACACATCGAAAAAGTCTTGACAACTGTACAGACTTTCATATGCCAACAAAGCCAGGGCAGCGTACTTTTCCAAAAAGTATACCAATTCTTATTTTGAACAACTTTCTCTCTTTCTTTTAATTAATTAATTTATTTTTTGAGACAGAGTCTCACTCTACCATCCTGGCTAGAGTGCAGTGGCATCACTATAGCTCACTGCAACCTTAAATTCCTAGGCTCAAGCAATCCTGCCTCAGCCTCCTGAGTGGCTGGGACTACAGGTGCGCACCACCATGCCCAGCTAGTTTTTCTGTTTTCTGTAGAAACAGGGTCTCACTCTTGCTCAGGCTGGTCTCAAACTTCTGGCCTTAAGTAATCCTCCCACCTCAGCCTCCCAGAGTGTTAGGATTGCAGGCGTGAGCCACCTCGTCAGGTCCGAACAACTTTCTTGTAAGTTATTTTTCAAGTTAATAAAATGCATTCTCGGTGGATTTTTAAATTATCTTTGCATCTTTGTTTCTACTCATCCCACATCAAAAAAAGAAAAAAGTATCCTAGCACTCTGGGAGGCCAAGGTGGGAGGATTGCTTGAGGCCAAGAGTTCAAGACCAGCCTGAGCAAGATCAAGACCCTGTCTCTACAAAAAACAGAAAAATCAGCCAGGCATGGTGGCATGTACCTATAGTCCCAGCCACTCGGGAGGCTGAGGCAGGAGGATCGCTGGAGCCCAGGAGTGTGAGGTTGCAGTGCGCTATCATGATGCCACCGCACTCTAGCCAGGGTGATAGAACAAGATTGTCTGAAAAAGAAAAAAAAAAGAAAAAGAAAAAAGTAATTGTACATTTAAAAGGTGGCAGGAGGGCAAGTACTGAGCACCTCCTTCCCCATTTACTGAAGCCAAAATTGAGGCTGCAGAGAAAAGTAATGTTCCTAATGTTGCCTGAGTGGTGGGTACCAGAACCAAGATTCCAGCAGAGTTGTCTGGTTCCCAAATTGCAGGAAAGGTAGAGAGAGGACTGAGAGGCGACTGCACATGGGTCATAGACAGCCACAATCATCATATGGCCAGAGTTTTAAACATTATCTTGCTCTGTCTTCACCATAGACTTCATCATAACTTGTAACTCATAAGGAAAATTACCTTTAACTGAAAAGCTAAGCACTGCCCTAGGTAAGTATTTTCTATATGTTATTTCTATTTCTAATGGAACAATTCTGTATTTTAAAAGAAAAATCGGTCATTATACCCATCTTTCAGATGGAGAGACTGAGGCTTACTAGGCTTAAATAATTTGCACAAGGTCACCAACTAGCAAAGACTAGAGCTGGGATTTGAATTCATAAATACATCACGGCCCTTTTTTGTTTCCGTGACACCAAGCTGACCTGCAAGGACCGAATCCATTTCTCAGGCAGTTGCTTCCACCTGTCTCCCGTGCCCCTGGTTTCCCCCTAATCCTACATTCCAGGAATAATATCCTTCCTGGTGTGTTTTCCTTCCTTTAATCAAGCCAGGTTTCCTTGCTTGGGGCCGTTCAAACCGAAGGCATTTTCCGCTTCTCTTCCTCCTCTTCTGCACCCACGAAATCAAACAGCCCAAAGAGAAGCGTTGAGGGAGGAAGAGGGTGTGTCCTGTCTCCCCCCTGTCCCTTGCACTAAGAGTGATAGAAGACCCCATAGCTTCGCACTTCCCTGGAGGGGGTCCTGGACTAGGAGGCGCCTCCTGGACTGGAGGAACCCACTGCAAACACTTCAGGTCGTGCCGGGTACTTTCAGGAGCGCCCTCCCCCCCCCCACTCGGCTGGGCGCCCCCAGACCATCCCCCGTATTCCAACTTGAAAGTTACAGCCAAGACCACCCCACCCCAATTACCACCCCACAGTGCTTTCTCCCACCCGTTGCTGAGGGCTCCTCAGACCACCCGCCCTACGCTTCTTGCGTCCGGGACGCGGACCGAGGACCCCTCCCGCTGCGCCCGCACGACTCACGCGGGGCGGGCGGCACTTACACTGCGCAGCAGCGGGTGCTCCGGTGCGCGCAGACCAAGCCGGCCAGTCCCTGCAGCGACTCCCAAGTCGGGCGGAAGTGAGGAGCTCCTCCCAGTCACCAGGACCCTGCAGAGATCGCGCTTGTAAGCGCTCCTCTGGGCTCACATGACCCAGATCCTACAAGGCCAAATGTTTGTCCCCACCTCCTAGTCCCAGAAACTTGGCCGCACCGGGTCAGCACTTTCCATCCTGGAAGCAGCAAGCGGCCCCAGGGTGGAATCTTAGAAATTACTAAAAGATCAGCTGTTGTGCAACTCAGGTTGGTTTGTTCCTTTGGTTTGTTTTAATTTCTTTCACTTTTTGAAATCTCTATGTTAGATTTTCAATCCGCATTTTGAAATTATTTCTCCATTCTAGTACGTGCAAGCCCAGGGTTTGCATTTGGAAACCAAGTGGTGTTTTACTCTCGCTGTTTAAAAAGTTAACACTCATTCACTAATCGCGCACATTCCAATCACTCTAATAGTGTACGCCAAGTGCCGACATTGCCAAGTGTTCTCCCTGCATCGTCGCACTGGACTCTTACAGCAACCCGGTGTGTTCTGCAGGATAATTAGCCCCATTTTGCTAGTGGGGACCTGAGACTTAAAGAGGTTACATTCAGGATCACATCTCTGGTAAGTGACCCGAGTGCGTATTGTTAAATATTGCCCAGCGCCAGGTGCTGGGCACTGAGCCAGACGGTAGGGGGAGCAAGGACTAAAAAAAGCTAAGAGGTTGCAATGGCAAGGATACAAGAGGAAATAAAGGAAGGTCATCCTTATCAGCCCCATCAGCGTCAACTGCCAGAGGAGTGACAGAGGCCATGGGGAACCTTCCGGCCGCCCACGCCCAGCGGAACGCAGCTGCAGAATTGAGCCAGGGGAAGCCAGCAGCCCAGCAGCCCCGAACCCCACAATCAGGGGAAAAGTCCTCCTTGTTTTAAGCCACTTTAAGTTTGGGCTAGTTTATTGTGCAACTAAGGCTAACTGAAGCACTAGCATTGTGACCTGGAACAAATTACTTCATATCACTGAATCTCAATTTTCTCCTAAGTACCTGTTTTATTGGGTGGTTGTGAGGACCGAATGAAAAACTACATGTAAATCGTCTGGCTCAGAGTATGGACTCAGTGACTCCAGCTGTTGTTCGCCGTCATATGTTATGTATGGAAGTACTTTCTTCCCACTTACCTCTGCATGGAGAAAAATTTGTTGGTGGGAAAAGAATTTTTCTTTAAGGCCAAGATCAGCCCACCTTTAATATTTGCAGGGCCCAGGACAAGAGTACAAATAGAAGCCCATAAACCAGATACCTAAATATGTGCAAGCTATAAACTAAGTTAGCAAATTATTAAGTACATTAAGTTCTACCTTCCTACCTTGACAAATACCTTCATAATGACATGAGAGGCCAGGTTCAAACTCATGGGTGACATGGTGGGACAAGGAGAGCTGGTTTCTAGGCCCCGGTCTGCAACCCCCTCCTTTCTTCCCATTTGGGGAGGGAATTTGGGGATACCGGATACTCAGAACAAAGTTTGGGGAGGTGTGGAGTTGGAGGTAAGGGGCACAATGGATGTAGTCCCATGGACTCCTCATCTCACTGTGACGACTGCAGCCAGGTAAGAGCCAGAGGGGAGAACCTTCTAAAGTATTCTAAAGTGTGGGCCCTGGGCAAGAGCTTCTTGGGCCTAAGTTCAAGGATACCTACTGGCCAAGGAAGCCAATAGGTGATCAAAATGGAGCCACTTAAATGAAAACCAAACTGAATTTTATAGTAAATACAAAATGAACCATATTTTAGCATGCTTATTCAAAAACAGGGTGTCCCAAAAGTCTTCCTGTCGTTTTAATCACTTCAGGAGTAAAAATGCTGTGACTTATAAAAACATCATTTGCAAGTTTAAATGAATTTTACACTATTTAGTTTTGTCAATGTTGAGTAACACATTTTTTTAATTTTCATTTTTGTTTCTGTTCCCCAGCATGAAAAACATGGCCTACATTGACTAAAAGAGACAGTTACACTTGTTAAAATAATTAAAACTTAGAATCAAAAGAAATAAACTCTCAAAGGACAATTTTGTAAGTCTGTAGCATTTAGACTTATGAATTTATTAAAGCTTAAAACTGTACTCACATATTTGGGACATCCGGTATTTGGGTTTGTTGTGTGTCAGGTTCCGTGCTAGACACTTGATTAAAAAGCAAAAAAGGAAAGAAACAGCCTTCTGTAAGGAACTTGCAGTTTAGTTGGAGGCCAGGGGTGAAGGAGACACATAAACTGATCTCCTGACATGATATGATAAGTGCTATCACTGGGGCCAGTAGAGCGTGGTGGGAACAGAGGACAGGGTCCGAGTGACTCTGCCTGAAGAACCCGTGGAATCTCACCATAGGAGGGGACATGAAGCTGGACGTTAAGAAATGAGTAGCCATCGAGGGGGAAAGTAGCAGCACGGGCAGCGAGCAGGCAAGTGTGCTGGAGTCGATGCTGTGCTCTGGGAATGCTGACAGCTCGGGCTTCTGGAGGTGTTTGGGTGGGCGAGAGGTTGACTGAAAATGAGGTCAGGAAGTTACCCTGGAGCCAGCTTGGGAAGGGCGTGAGTGCTGAGCTCTGGAGGCTGACGTCATTCAGCATTAGTAAATGGGAAATCAGTTTTCATAATGTAAGAGAATGGACTAGAACAACACAGGGCAGACTGTAACAGTAGAATAGGGGTGTTAGCTTGCCAGGGCTGCTGTAACTGGGTGGCTAAAGCAATAGAAATGTATTGTCTCACAGTTCTAGGGCCTACAAGTCTGAAATTCAGGTGCCAGCAGGTTCCCTCTGAAACCTGTAGGGGCAGGATCCTTCCTTGCCTCATCCAGCTTTTGGTGGCCCCAGACATTCCTTGGCCTGTGGCAGCATTAAGTCCAGTCTCTGCTTCCATCTTTATAGGGCATTCTCTTTGTGTCTTTTCATGGTGTTGTCCCTCTACATGCATGTCTCTGTGTCCCAACTTCGCCCTTTTGTAAGGAAACCAATCATATTGGGCTAGAGTCCACCCTAATGACCTCATTTTAGCTTGATTACCTCTGTACAGACTTTGTTTGTAAATAAAGCCACCTCACTGCTTTAAGAGAATACTGAAAGATGGGCAAGTGAATGGATTTGCAAAGAGGTTGGTTCTCCAAGAAGGCTTAACCAACAAAGTCTTGGCTTTTCTGAAAACGAAGACTTGAAACAATCAGGTTGATAAGTACAGATGATTTTAGGGTTCCCCCAAGCCCTTGTGTTCTCTGCATCTACATATTCCAGGAGGTTCTGGTTTGCTAAGCCCTGGTGGTTCAGAGCATGAGTCAGACCTCGTTCAAATCTAGAACCTGTCGCTCGGTGACCACAAGCAAGTTCCTTAATTTCAGTTTTCTCAACCATACATGGTAAAAATAATATTAGCTACCTTGCAGTGTTATTAAGAGGATAAAATGAGATAGTAGTACATATAAGTGCTTTTCGTACGTAAAGGGCTCAATAAATGGTAGCTATAATAACGATGATGATGATCATGACAATCTGCAAGATTCTAGGCCTGCGATTCTTTCCAACTGTCTATCCAAGATACTGAATTGTTTCTGGACATCACACAAAAGCATGTCCCTCACTGACCTACACCAGAGCTTTGCAGGACTCCTTAAATTCCAATTAAGAAGACACAGACAATAGGTTGTTTACACACCTTGAGCAGGTAAATACAATCCCAATTGTCTAAGTGTGGAGGTTTGATTTTACATTTGCAGCTGCTGCCACCAAGATAAACGTGGAGCTAGAATGAAAACAAGAGGCATTGATTAACCTTGTAGGCAATCACGCCCCTCTTGGAAGTGTCTACATCCCTCCCTGCACTTGTCAAGCCTTCTGTCTTCGCTCCTTCTCAGTGTTGCTACCTGTCTTCAATGGGGCTGCCTCGTGGCTTGAAAATGCAGCTCGGAGGCACAGCAAAAAAAGAAATGTCACAACTGGCACAGCATATTAACTTGATCAATAAAGACTTTGCTTACGGAAAGAAGTCAGAAGTGTCACACCCACACACTTGCAAAAAGACATTGTGCAAAGGAGGAGGTGGGTGGCAGATCCAGCTGCAGAAACCCCACAGCTGTTCTGTTATCTTAGTCATAAACATTGAAGGCTTCATTACCTGAGAAGTAGGCCCAGGTGGCAGTCACCCACATGTGCCCTGATCAACTTAGTGAGGCGCTTCAGTCTCCTTGTACCGGGTAAGGAAGGGGCACCTCCTATGACTAGCCACAGGCTACGGACTCCAGGGAAGTTGTGGATAATTACATGGTAATTATTTATAATAAGTGCTTCCATTCACAGCGTGATTATCCTTCCCTGGGTTGCTTGCCTCCTTCTGCCTGGTTTATGTAGGGAAACAATGTCCAAATTAATCTATGTCTTTTGTAAGCTAGTGTGTACTCCTCTGATGATCCAGATGGTTTAGTGCCCTTTAGCAGCAGGTGTTAAGGCTTTCTTACAAGAGGCATATTTTCAGTTTCCCTTTGGCTATGGAGAAAGCCAGGCAAACAAGATTTTGGTAGTTTAAAGATGAATTATGGGATTAATATAGACTTGGCCACTAAGGACAGCAGAGCTAGCCCTGTGTGAAACCAGGAAAAATAATTGCAGTGAACCTTTGTAAGGTTTTTATGGTTTGCCCACCGCTTTCCATGTATATCATCTCTTTCAATTTTCACATCAGCTCTGCAAGGTATATATTGATATTATCATGAAACTGCCAGTATGCTAAGGATAATATCGGATTAAGGGCATGGCCTTAGGAGTAGACTGATGGGATTTGAATCCCAGCTCAGCCACTCATTAGCTGTGAGACCTTTGCTGTGTTAATTAACCTCTCTAAGCCTTAGCCTTCTCAAGTATGAAAGGACAATACCAACCCTACAGGGCTGATCTGAGGATTTGATGAAATTACTGTTAACACAGTGCCTGGCCCATAGCAAGCAGGTCATTCATTGGTTGAAAGA